GGTAGGAATTGGGGCTGATTTTTCTCTCATGGTCCCCAAATGTTATGAAACCAGAGAGATGCACAAGACATGTATCTGAATCTTATGAAGACATGAAATGAGTAATTCTCTAGCTAAACTTTCCAATTTTCTCCTACAGTGAAAGCAAACCATTGTGCTGCATTCACTTAAACAAGCTGTAATCTCACCCTTGGGGCTAAACTCAACCCTCTTTAAAAAGCTTAACCTCTCAGCATTTTTCGATGTTAAGAAAATAAATTGAAGTGAAAGAACAACAAAGTTATTTTCAAGCACATAACCTTGTACTATTTACAACCTAAACTCGATCATGCTGAGACAATAAAGGAGCAATGGACAAAAGAAATTATAGCTTCAATTTTGTCTTATTCTTCATACCAACAAATGGTGACTCATACAATGAGCTGTAACACCAGACTTTTTCCTACACAATAAATAACCCGGTTAAGTACAGTTAGCTCAACACATATTAACACTAAACAGAAAACAGTTATCACAGAATTTTTTCTCTTTTCCTAAAACTCCAAAACCATCTGTTCACATATCTCCTGTGGCTTTCTATATTGAAAGTCCCACCATGAAGAGAACAAGTAACTGCCTAAATTAACCTAGAGGGCTGCAGCATGCTTAGAAAGGATGTAAAGAAGGTAAATGACCTATTTATCAAAACTTGAAGGGAAAAAAAAACAGGACACGTATGGAGTTGTTGCCCACAGCAGCCAACAAAAACGCATCTTTTTTCCATGAACATAAAAAAAGAGCAAGCAATCTAATTGGTCACTAAGGACGTAACTGACTTTTTTCAGTGTTTTTCACTATTTTCTAAAAAGGCGGACATTCTTTTCTATATTGCGTAAGGGTTTTAAACAGTAACGCCACACAACAAATACAATCCAAGAAATATTACTGCTATGGTTAAGTCACATTGTTTACTTTATCAACCTTTAATTTTCAGTTTTAGATAATTAATTTAAGAACGTACTCAGACTTTTTAAAGTCCTTGGTAGAACAGCATCCAACCTCCCTTTCAGAAAACAAACGAAAAACAAAACAGCGCTGGGAGAAGACCACACATGAAGAGTCTAGATAGGTTAGTGACAAATGATGGATACAGCAGGAGAAATACAAAAAGGGGAATAAGCGTACAATAGTAATGAGTTCAAATTGGGGTGGCGATGAAGCGACAAATGGAGACGGGGAAGTCCATAGTCAAAGGGTCCTAGGAGGTGGATGGATGGTAAAGGCAGCTCCACATAGAGTGAAGCAGAACTCTGAAGAAAATAAATCGGACACAAGGGGGCGCCAATCTCAGTGCAGAGGGAGAAAGATTTATTGGTAACTAGAGGTTTAAAAAACTACTCACAAACGTAAGTATAATAGCATGGTAAAGGAATGCCTTTGGTAAGCCCTCAGTCTGCCAATGATGTGAAGATGGATCCTGTTTGTGCAGTATGAGCAGAGATGCAGCCGTCAGTGATCAGCAATGCAAAGAGTTTTTTTTTAAAAATGGTGCCAAAATCAGCATGGACAGCAAAGAAGTCAGGACCTCGGCAGGTGACCAATGTCAGGACAGGAACAGGGTCAGGTGAAGCGTTTCAAAGCACTTGCTTCTTCAGACCTGATTGACTGTAGGGTTCTCCAGTGTTTTATAGGCAGAAGACAGGAGGGGGCGGGATGATATCACTCTGCCTGGCAGCTGGGGGAAGATGTCAGCAGCTAGGATCGTTGGATAGGGATCGGAGCAGGCATATACAATAAAAAAGCAGTAACTGGCATAATGTTCTAGTGTGGTTTTTCACATAATGGTGGCAATGTCTTTGGTGAACATGGTTCATGATAATATACAGCTATATGCAAATAAACAAATAAATAAATAAACGGGGGGGGGGGGGGGGGGGGGGGGAGAAGAGAAGGCACATGCAGGAAGAGAAAAAAAGGAAAACAAGGAGGGAGGGGTGAAAAATGAATGCCAGAAATCATGCTAATAACAAAATGGAATGCTAATTATTTGGCAAAGGGCATGGCAACCCAAAAGGGTTTATAATAAAACAGAGTGGGATTAGATGATAAATGAACAGATTAAAAAAATAAATAAAATATATATATATATATATATATATATATATATATATATATAGATATAGATAGATAGATATATATATATAGATATATACTGTATCTATATATATATATATATATATGGAATATAAAAAAAATATTTATAAAATAGGGTAAATATTAAAGAGTAAAAAATAATAGTAATAAAATGATGATGATGATAAAATGATGGAAAGATACATGGAGTGTGGTTAAAAATATATATATACACACACTCATATGTAATGCATATAAAGAAATATAATAAACAAAGTGGATAATCTATAGGGCTATGAAGGGGGGTATGTGACGTGTTAATGCATGTACATGTAAACGCATGTGCGTACATGCACAAACGGAATCGATAGGAAGGGAATAATGAATCAATAGGTGAATACATATGTGTGTATAGGTGGGGAAGGCCTAAGTGATGCATACATGCGTATTGCATTGGGGTGATCATGCGTTTTGGATATAACTGAGGGAGTGTTTTAAATGTAGCAGACCCGCGTCTGTGGCTCCGGCAGACCAGTGTGGCTGCGGCTCCACCCGCCTACAAAGTCTGCTCCCCACTAGCGGGATACCTGGGCAATCATAAGCAGGGGATCCCCCCTGCATACCGGCCCCCCCCTGCATGGATCGGTACCTTGTGCTGGCTCCTCCTGGTTCCTATCCTGCCACACGGGGGATGCAGCTCTCCCCCTCCTGCAGCCAAGATGTCCGACGGCATGGGCACAGGTATAGCAGAGACACAGGCAGATGCAGTCTCAGAACACCCTGACACTAGTTGCCCTACAAAACAAGATGAAAAAATAGCACAGGCTGTTGCTACATCACTCTCACTTACTATTACTCAAGCTGTGGACAGAGCAGTAGCAATGGGCATAGAGCAACATAGAAAAGATCTGGGCGTCCATGCTAAATGTTTATTTGAAACGGAACAGCGCCTATCTGACTTAGAAGACGAAGTACACTCCATACAAGCGGGGGAAATCCAGACCAAACACATGCAACAAAATATTTTAGACAAGCTTGACGACTTGGAAAATCGCTCGCGCAGAAAAACAACCTGCGCATTGTGGGCCTTACGGAATCCTACAGTTCTAGCGCTCTCCTAGAACTATGCACGTCCCTGCGGCCTTAGGATTACCCTCACCCTGCCAAGTCGAGAGAGCACACCGCCTAGGGGCACCTTCCAATGATAGACGCACACTGCGGTCAGTGATCGCCAAATACCTCAATTATGCTGATAGAGTGGCCATCCTCAATTCATTCCAGAATTCTCGTTCTCTCCAAAGAGACGGGCACAAACTGCTCTTATTTGCAGATTACTCGCAAGAAGTTTCACACAAGCGTAAAGCTTTACAACAAATTTGTGCCCTACTGTTTCAAAATGCGTAAAATTCACCCCCTGGCATATCCAGCTACACTTCGCTTCACTACAGTTTTGTCAGGAGATTCAAAAAAATATTTAATCACCCAGAGAAAGCCTTGCAATACATACAGACCAACCTAATTGACCCCAACACGTCATCAGGCTCCCTACACTCCAATCAAGATCAGGGTCCCAATGGATCAACGCAGTCCCACAAAGATCCTCCTAAGCGCCAACGGATCATTCATTCAACAACCAAAAATGCGGCCGCCCTGAGGGGGCCGCCGTCACCTCATCTAGGTTAATATTCCACAGACAACCTGGCCGCTGGGCCCACTCTGTGCTTATGTAGCTGTTACGTCTCCGTATGAGACACCAATTGTTACTTCTGTTCCACATCCGCAGAACCGCATCAATATGTTATATGTTGTTCGGTAACTTGTAATATGTTTTGTCATATAGGGCATGTTATCGTAGACTTTTCTTAGCCCACTGCTTTTGTCATTTGTCAGGTATTTATGATCTTGCATATGGGCAGCACAGGTGCATTAGTGGTTAGCACTGGTCTGCCTTGCAGTAAATGGAGTTCGATTCCCGCCCATGGCGACCTCCTGCATGGAGTTTGCATGTTCTCCCTGTGCTTGCATGGGTTTCCTCGGGTGTTTCGGTTTCCTTCCACACTCCAAAGGCATGCTGGTAGGTTAGTTGGATCCTGACAAAAAAAATATTGGCCCTAATATGTGTATGAATGTGAGTTAGGGACCTTAGATTGTACACCCCTTGAGGGTTAAGGACTGATGGAATGTTCAATATTATATATATGTGTGTTAAAAGCACTGCATAAATTGACAGCGCTACATAAGTACCTGAAATAAATAAATGCAATATTCCGACCATCGCCACCATTACTGTTAATTGGGTTTTTTACTAATTTCTCTGACATTATCCAAAATTGCCATATTTGGACAAGGGGCGTTCCCCCGCTGTCCTCACCAGCTCAACCCCCGCGGTGGGCTCATTTCTTGACACCCTCCGGTTTACACTGGTCATAGTATGGAAGTATCATGCGGGAAAAATGTGAAGTCCAGTCTATTTGTATGGATTGATGTATTTTTTGCTTATCTGTCGGGGCCCCTGCTGGTCAGACACAGTTACTCTCTCTTCTACTCTCTTACGTTCTCTCTAGAGATGAGCGAAAGTATTCAAAAATTCGATTCGACTGATTCGGCGAATTCTGTAGAAAAATTTCGATTCGAGTCGAATATATTCGCTGTGAATTTAACTTAAAAAAGGGTGTTTCTAGGGCTTCAGAGAGACTTAATATTTGGTTTGGCTGAACACTGTACCTTTAATTTAAATGCCTCTTGAGTCTGCTGGGGAAAGAGAAATAATACTGTCAGGCAGTTATGACATGCAGCTGGAGTGCCGACGATCTTAGAATCACCGCACACTTCACTCATTTGGGCAGTCACGGGGCCAAAAACCAGAGTGTGGAGCACACAGTGTGGCGGTGGAGGCAGCAGCAATGGGAGGCCATACAGCACGCTATGACAAAAATGGAAACCACCAGCAGTGCGTGAGGAGACCTGAAAGTGGCACATGGCAGAGTGTGGCGATAGAGACAGCAGCAATGGGAGGCCGTACAGGGACCCATGACACACTCTGTGGTCCTGGCAGCAGCATGAGAGGAGGCGGTACAGGGGCCCATGGCAGATTACGGGCCTGGCAGCAGCATGAGGAGGTCATTTTTCTTTAACGGGGGCCATGGCAGATTAAACAGGCCTGGCAGCAGCAATGGGAGGCCGTACAGGGACCCATGACACAATCTGAGACGGGCAGCCAGGCATGGGGAGGCGGTACAGGGGCCCATGACAGATTAAACGGGCCTTGGCAGCAGTTCATTGGAGTCGGTACGGGGGCCCATGACACACTCTGGACCCTGGCAGCAGCATGAGGAGGCGGTACAGGGGCGCATGACCAGATTACGAGCCTGGCAGCAGCTTTTTTCCTCTTAGGGACAGGATGGACGTTCGAGTTTCTGCACCGTCTGGTGCGTGCTCGCAAAACTGTTGTCTCTTGGAAACGGATTCCAAGAAAGACTGCTGACGGAATCCGTGAAGAGGAGTAGCAGGAGAAGGGAGCATCTGAACGAGCGGAATATGCCAACAAGCGACAACAGGGGCCCATTGGCAGATCTTAGGGGCCTGGCAGCAGGCTATGGGAAGGCCCGTAATCTGCCAGCACCCTATGACAAAAAATGGAACCCACCAGCAGTGTGAGGAGACCTGAAAGTGGCACGATGGCAGAGTGTGGCGATGGAGACAAGCAGCAATGGGAGGCCGTACAGGGACCCATGACACACTCTGGACCTGGGGCAGCAGCATGAGGAGGCGGTATAATAGGGGCCTATGGCAGATTAGGGGCCTGGCAGCAGCTATGGGAGGCCCGTAATCTGCCAGCACCCTATGTCAAAAATTCTAACACACCTAAGCAGTGTGTGAGACCTGAAAGTGGCACATGGCAGAGTGTGGCGATGGAGACAGCAGCAATGGGAGGCCGTACAGGGACCCATGATGAGAGACTCTGGACTTGGCAGCATCATGAGGAGGGCGGGTATAGGGGCCATGGGCAGATTAGGGGCCTGGCAGCAGCTATGGGAGGCCCGTAATCTGCCAGCACCCTATGACAAAAAATGGAACACACCAGCAGTGTGAGGAGACCTGAAAGTGGCACATTGTTTGGGGCATGATTCATGGCGGATTTAGTCAGTTGTGTCAGGAACTGGTGGTTTTGAAATCCAGACTAATCCACCGCCTGATTTCATTTTCACAAACGTCAGTCTCTCCACACTTTGGGTGGACAGTCGTGTCCTCCGCGGAGTTGCAATACCTCCTGCCGCACTAAAAACACGCGCTCCGATGCCATGCTTACTGGCCGGGCATGACAGCCTTTCAAGGGCAAATTCAGTCTAGTTGGGGCCAAAGGTCAAGTTTCGTTGCCCAGTAGTCAAGGGGATTGTCTACCTCGGTTGGCAGGGTGCTGTCCAAGTAGGCCTAAGCCTGTTGTTTGAGGTCCTGCTCCAGGTCCACCTGATGCCTGCTGCTGCTGCTGCTGCTCGTGGGCTGGTTAGTAGTTTCCTCACTGCGCTGTGAGGAAGAAAGCAACTACTACTCATCATCGACTGCAGACTGAGGCAGCCGCTGCTTTGGTGGAGCTGCCACTGCTCCTACCACCCACCCCTCCCCTGCTGCATGGCAGCGGAACGCGAGCGCACAGGGCCCACAGTGTCTGAGGATGGACGTTGGTGCGCAGACAGGCAGAGACCAGCTGACAATACATAGGTGGTTTTTTATAGTACGTTTATTTTGGCCTCCCTCTCAGCAGGTGTGAAAAAAGGCCACCATTTTTGAACGGTAGCGAGGGTCCAACAAGGTGGACAGCCAAAAGTCATCCCTCTGTCTGATGGTTATTTATTCGGCTGTCGCTACGCAAGCAAGCGAGCATGCTATGGGCCATTTGTGCCAAGGAATGCGAGGGACTCCCTGCCTCCATCTCCACAGCATACTGCCACGGTGCGTCTGGGTCCTCTGTCTCCTCCTCCTCCTCCTCCTCCTCTACCAGATGCTCCTGCTCCCTCCACTCCTGTCCGCTGAGTGGAAAAATCACCCATTTCACTCAATAATTCCTGAGCACCAATGTCCTCCTCTACCTCCTCCTCTTCTTCCTGTCCTGCCCCCACAGGGGTCATGTGGCGTTGAGATCTGTGCGCCACGTCTACCGCACCCTGACCAGCCATTGTTAACAGCATTTGTTCCAGGACGTGCAACAGAGGAATGACGTCGTTCATCCCATAGTCCTGCCGACTCACGAATAGCGTGGCCTCCTCAAAGGGCCTGAGCAAGCGCAGGTGTCACGCATGAGCTGCCAATGGCTGACATCTAAGTTACACAGGGAATACCTTTATCCGCTTTTAACATCAGGAAATCTGTGATGGCCTTTTGCTGTTCGTAAAGGCTGGTTCTAACATAGTGTAGGGTTGAATTCCACCTTGTTGCAACGTCACAGCATGAGGAGTCGGTATAGGGGCCCATAGGCAGATTAGGGGCCCTGGCAGCACTATGGGAGGCCCGTAATCTGCCAGCACCCAATGTCAAAAAATTCTACACACCAGCAGTGTGTGAGGAGACCTGAAAGTGGCACATGGCAGATTTGGCGATGGAGACAGCAGCAATGGGAGGCCGTAACAGGATCCCATCGACAGGACTCAGGAACCAGGCAGCAGCATGAGAAGTGACGGTAATAATTAGAGGGCCTATGGAAGATTAGGGGCCTGGCAATCAGCTATAGGGATCCCTTAATCTGCCAGTCACCCTAAGTCAAAAAAATTCACACACCAGCAGTGAGAGGAGACCTGAAAGTGGCACATGCAGAGTGTGGCGATGGAGAACAGCAGCAATGGGAGGGCCTACAGGGACCCATGACAGACCATGGACTGGCAGCAGCCATTAGAAGCGGGTTAATAGGGGCCTATGGCAGATTAGGGGCCTGGGCCAGCTAGCAATGGGAGGCCGCATATTCTGCCAGCCAACACCCTATGTCAAAAAATTCTACACACAGCATGTGTGAGGAGACCTGAAAGTGGCACATGGCAAGATGTGGCGATGGAGACAGCAGCAATGGAGGCCTACAGGGACCCATGAAGACTCTGGACCTGGGAGCAGCATGAGGAGGCGGTTATAGGGGCCCATGGCAATTAGGGGGCCCGGGACAGCAAAGGGGGGGCCCGAAAACTGCCAGCACCCCCTTTTCAAAAAATTTTACACACCAGCAGTGAGGGACTGAAAGTGGCACATGGCAATGTGGGGGA